CCCCCCTAAACTGCACGATAACAAAAATATTCTGAAAATCCTTACTTTGACCCAAAAAAAAAACGCTGTGGTTATTAACATAAAAAAGATAACTGCTTACCTTGCAGAAAGTGTAAAAATCCTGTTTCCGATAGGGGTCCAGACCTATGCTGACAGTGGTCTGCCCCTGAAGCACCCCGTCACCCCACTGAGAATTCTGGGCGAGCGTTTTCTTGAACGTGTTGTCACCTCCGGTGCGAGTGACATCAGGCTGAGAGTCCGGGCTGTACGCACCCTCCTGGCTCTCTTTCATGTCGATGTCTACGTCAGAGCCTCTCCAGTTGGCCACTTTCGACACTTCCTGTTTCCCACATTCCTCCTGAACCCCCGATTTCACGACCTGCCATTCCATATTCTTCGCTGGGGGAGGGCTGTTGTTTCGCCTTTTCAGCCCCCTCAGGATGAGGAAAACGATAATGATGATGATCGTCACGGAAAAGATGAAAGTGAAACCCCCGACGACGCCACCGATGATAACGTACTTATCGTCCCACTTCTCTTCTTCGTGCGCGGCGAACGTCGCGTTTGTGATGTCGATGACGAGGTCGATAAACGTCTGGCTCTCCTGCTGGTCCACGCCCCAATCGTGCGCTGCGACCATCAACGTCTGCAGCTGCTCATCCGTGGCCTTGACCTTCCGCCGAAGGAAAAGATTCCCCGTATCTTTCTCCAGTCTGAATAAGTCCGTTTTGTCGCCGGAGAAGATGTAGTAAGAAATCGTCTGGTTCTCCCCCGCGTCGTCGTCGGTGGCGTTGAGTCTCGTGATGGGTACGTACGTAGGGAGCGACCACACGAACGAAACCGTTTTGTTTTTCGGGGTGGGGAAGTGGAAGGAAGGGGCGTGGTCGTTGACGTCTTCCACGATGACGTTGACTGTGCCGTAGACGACTTTGGGTTCGACTCCGTCGTCACGGAGTTCGATGCTGAGGGAGTAGAAGCTTCTGGACTCTCGGTCGAGATTCTGTATAGCGAACACTCGACCGTCTGGGTCCACCTGTGAAGAACCAATGATGCAGATAGTTGGTTTGAAAAGAACTACATGTATTTCTGTTTGATAAAATAGAAACAACAGAAACGAGTTGTTTGTACTTGTCTTTTGTATT